ACTCTTATTACTTAATACCGTAATTATAACAAAATAATCAAAGATTGTTCATATCTCGTAAAAAAATTCAAGCAATAATTGAAATAAACTTGCATTTCAAGATTGATTTTAGTATGCGTGTGTTTACTTGAAATAGTTACAGATTCAATTATCTTATGCATAAAAAATGTCATTTTGAAATATCTATTACCGACGACGCGTTTTGCCTAATCCAGAGCTCATCAAGCAACTTGGGCACATTCAACATAGTAATGGTTGGAACACTATTTATATAAGCCATTTGTTACAACACCTGTTATGGTATGAACACGTTTTCTAAGTTGGCGAAGCATGATTATTGTTGTGTTTCAGACAACCTGATAAGCTCTATGTTGAGTGAAACGCATGATCGGCACTGACTCAAGTGGGCATAGTGTGGTTGAAATACTATTATACATTTTTCTTCTTGAAAAAAATCCTAAGGGATGAATCAAAAATGTGGTGTTAAAAATATAATAGGCCTAATACTAATGTTTTATGACAAATATAATTAACTGTAATCATGCATTAGGCCTAATATTAATGTTTTATGACAAATGTAATTAACTGTAATCATGCATTAGGCCTAATATTAATGTTTTATGACAAATGTAATTAACTGTAATCATGCATAGCCACCTTATAAAATGTGTTCATATCATAACGAATAGGTATGTTCCGCGCAATCTTGAAATATTCTTGGAAAGCACAGTGCATTATGGGAATTCCGAAAACGTTTGATGACATTAGAATCATGTCTGCCATTAGTAGTGTTCGCTGTCGGACCTATTTCTAATTATGACAGAAATACAACTGACAACTACTGTTTAGAAAACAGTTTACGTTTAAGGTAGAATAATACAAAACACAACCTGTTTTGATATAATAACAACAATGTTAAGTAACCTGGCCCAGCTAAGTTCAGCCCGTGTGCAGTTCCAGAATGGGACGTTTTAGGAATTCCCTTTAATTGCTGCGCATTCTGGAATATTCCAACCTCCTGCTGAACAATCATAATGAAACTTGAAATTTTTCTCTTTTTTACTGATAAACAATCATATGCACTGAAATGAAACCTGCATATTGAATTCTAAATTTATAGACTAGTAGCAATGAAAACATAATTATTGTTATAAAGTTCATAACTGAGTTCATTGCAGAAGGAATGATATTAAGTTAACTGATGTTATCACTATATCAATAAAATGAAAGATGTGTGGCTGCTCAGTGGCACAGCGGTATGACTGCGGAATTACTACAATAGAAACCGCGTTTCGATACCCGTGGTGGGAAGAGAACAGGTAGGTAGTCCAATGGGTGGCTTTGTGCTTAATTCTAAACAAACAAACGAAATACTTACGACATTTTATACTAGAACTTTCAGAATTTTTTTAATGAAGTTTGAATCCATATAGTGTAAAGGGTTTATTGTGCAACTCTAAGCAAAATACAAGTTGTAATTCAATGTTATGCTAATACTAACAGCTAATATACATAATTATCACTGTTACAATGTAAGCATCCAATTCTCTTATTCTAGTGTTCCTGTCAGGGGGACCTGAGTGTCAACATTTAGGCTATGGCTAGAAACAATTCAACTGGTATTGCTAGAGTAATTAGCACGCGCTGCGGGTAGAATAATGAATGCTTTAAGTTGTTGAGTTTGAGCTTTATAACGTTATTAATCGTATACCTTCCGAGTTTTTATTCCCTGATGGTAATGTTGTTCACATCTAAGCTGTTTTGCGACCTATACGTTCTGAGTGACTGATGCTTTAGCTTCACATGTATCGCAGTACGCAGAACCCGATAATCCGAGTACTTCCGAAAACGCTCGAATTAATATATGTACTTCATATATTGTTTTCAATTCTACTATTGGAGCTGTCTTCAGAAGTTGGAGAGTAACTCAAAGCTTTTTCGATAATATTGGATGTGGATATCAAAACCAGCTATCTTGTAGCAGGAATAGTTATAAGAAATATCTTTCTTGGATTCTAGCAAGTTAATTATCAATTACTGATCAGAGCTAGCTAACTAACTACAAATGGATCAAAAATGAAGAATAACAACTTCATTAATAATGTTACCAGTTTAACCAGTAGTAATATCATAAACCAAATAAGAAAACTTATAATGGTTAAAATGCATTGGTTTGTAAATTCAATGCCCTCTTTGTTATTGACATGTTCGGCCGTAATCCCAATAATTTCTCATAAGGTTCAGTCAGCTTAGAAAACATAGGTTATTCCTAAATCCATATATAGCACTAAGCTAACAATACAAGATAATATTCATCAGTGTGATATATATATATACAAATATAAAACATTATAAGCTACACTTTTAGTGAAAATAACTAAAGAAAGAGTGAAATATAATTTTACTTACAAGACACAAAAATATAAATGTTTACTTTATTTAAGACATTTATAAAATTCTTGAATCTCACTAAAATGTTACTCTATAAACTGCCTTTAAAATAGAAATAAAATCTCCTTATCAAATTGTTATAACATGTTGTAAACCCGTTTTAATTATTAGCTTTGACATTCTATTTCTAATGTTTTAAAAGAACAAAAGTCGTTCGTCTTCTTAATGTAAAAAAAGCACTGAGTCGCATAAAAGACGTTGAATGTGGCTAAATTATATACGAAATTTGGCGATGTCGCTTCTCCTAATTAATATATCGTTATTATATATATATATATAAAATTAACTTAATTTACTGTTTTTAGCAACATATATAATACTATTTTTCACACGCTCAAATGAGCCGAATTATGTACTTTCCACTTTAAATGCAGATAAAATTATTGTTAAACACAACTAAATAATAAATTGTTATCAAATGTAGAAACTACAACAATTAAATCACCAATTGTCTCTCTTATACAAAGTATTTATACTAGTAATAAAGCAAATGTTTAGGTTGTAAAAGACAACTTAATCAATTTAGCTGAATCTTCTTTTGATTATTATTCTTAAACGTTTATTTTGTGTGCTTTTAACGAAGACAAAGGAGAATATTTTTGGTATATTAAAAACTGCGATGCACGACACTTATTACATATTTCAACATTGTTTTAAATATCTGTTTCAAATTTTATTTCAATATGTTTTAATATATATCAGCTAACTTTCATTAAATGAAATTTAATTGTTTACCCCTCAGTGTCACAGCTGTATGTATGCGAACTTACAACGCTAGAAACTGGGTTTCGATAAGGATGATGGGCAGAGCACAAGATAGCCCATTGTGTAACTTTGCACTTCACTTCAAACAAACAAATTAATTGTTTCGAATGGCGCGCCATCTATTGTACATACTTGAGTTTCTAATCTTGTGAAACATGTGCGTCCACTTTGAGGTTATTACTAACCCTTCACAAAAAATATTTTAGATGAAGTTTCACGCATAATTGACTTAGACCACTTAAAAACTTGAAGCGCCAGGCTTTCTACTTTAGAGTTTATTAAAATAAATTTATAAAAAGCAGAGAAGAGCATGAATTAACGTATTTAGCATGTGTGTAGTAAATTTGAGACTAACCTTATTTGAAGTTCAAGAATTCGAAAGTAACTAAGAAAGATTAAAGCCTGATATTCCGAAAATTAAACGTAAAATCAATTATACATCTAGGTCTAATGTTCGTTCAAGTTGTTATATTACATAAACATTAGTATGTGTATAGTGTGATGTTAGGGACATAACCCGATTACATTTTAAGGTATATTTGTAATCATTCCGCAGACCTATATTATTGTTAAACGTAATTAAACGTTTCTAATCTTTTGAAAAATTGTCCAAATTCTCAATAATAACATACTTATTATTATTATTATTACAGAAACAGGATGAAAAAATGAATAATAAATCGAAGAATAAGGCAAACTCCAGTACTAGTGGCGGAACTTTTTCGGAATATCGGTCTGTCCCAGTAGGAAACATTAATTCAAAATTAATTCTGTTTGTTTGTAAGTATAACACCTATTAAAAGAATTAATGAAACATAATTTTTTACTATCTTGATGTTTTAAGACATAATATCACGTACATCTTCTTCTATTTGTTTTGTTTTATTTATTTTTAGAAAATTGTCATACATACATATTTAATTTATATTTCTTGCAATGCAAAATTATAACAGATTATTTATTCGTAACATTTTCAAACACTAATTCTGACACTTGTACAAATCCATAATAAAAGGTTATTTGAATACAATGTAAGTTTATCCATAATAGCTTTTTATAGGCACTTAGTTAACCAGTGATATATGGATCGTAAACTAAAAACCTGTAATCACATATAATCTATTTTTGTTTGTAAGTGTGGCTGAAAGAGCTTTGAAATACCGCAAAACGATGATACATCCAAACGCTCTGTGGGGTGGCTGGTTTGAGCAATTAACAAGCAAAGGCACTGGGAGGAGCATATGTCGCAGCCTGTGGGCCACTCGATATTCCTTGTCGCGTGTCAGCAAAAGCGTTGGAGCCGGAGGACGACCCAAGGATGAATAAGAGCTCCGTAAGGGATTATATATTTCTAAGCACCTGTCAAATAAGCATATGAATATTGAGTTTTATTTTGACTCTGTTTTCAAAGAAGTGTTACTATGATTAAGAATTAATATTTTTAATCGGAGACGGGTCTTTTGGTTCCAGCTATGTTTTAGTAGAAATTTGATGAGGAAAATAAACTCCTCTTCAGTACTCCACAAGGTTATTTTTGTGACGTCATCAGCGTCAATCCAAGGTGGGCTGTAGTCTGTGATAATTGACGCCGCCATTTTTGACGAAGACTGACACTTAGGTAAGCTGCCACTCAAACAATTTAATAGACTATGTTCTTGAGCACCTGATGATATTCATAATAATTTTGTTTTCAAATTTATTTGTATAACAATTCATAGTATATGAAACTATTACATTTTCATATAAAACGTGAGGTTCATTCGTTAGCCAACAAATCAGAAACTTGTGTTTGACTAACCCTATCGTATCATTGTCGGAGGCTGTGCTAATATTAACAACGTTTAACTTCAAGTTGATGAAGGAAGCTGTGTAACTTAAGGGAATGATTATTAGGATTGTCGGTTCGTCGGGACGAAGTGGATCTATTCTAGTTTATTGTGGCACAAACGGTAACCGATGTGCTCAGCAGAGGCCTTTTGCGATTTTTAAAGAGAGATATATTGATAATTTAATGAATTGTACTACTAAAACCAGTAACAGTGTTATTTATTTTGCTTTTGCACTTGGTTCGATGGGGTTATACTTGAAAATTCATAATCTAAAGGTAATTAATGAGTAATTTAAGTATAGCAAAGTTATTTTTTATCATATTTGAATAAAGAAATTATATGGTTACAATTTACATAATGTGATCATTTATGTTGATAACTTGAGTCCCCAGCTCAGGTTCAGTTGCTTGGAAATAGGAATTAGTCAAGTGATTAAGCCAATATTTTTATTAAATAAAATATTTATACTAGAGCTTATCATACTAATTTTATTTTTTAGGAGATTTTAAGCATTTAATTGTTGACCTTATTTATAATTATTAGATCAGACAGCTAACATACTATAGATTATGAATATAAATTATAATTATTCACAAAAAAAAATATTGTTTTGTTTGTGTAACTAATAGTATATCATATAAACCAAAGTAATTTTTGACAATAGAATGGAGACATTTGTTGGAACAGGCAAAGGTTTTTCATTGTAAATTTTGGATGTTTTCTTCTTGCTTTATAATTTTTATTTGTTTTTATGGTATAAGCCTTATTATAAGAATGTCCTTAAAATTCAGCATAGTTTTATATTGATATTCTATTGATCATGTAATTACAGTTTTGAAAAACCACTTTTTAATTAGCAAAAAATATTGTCATGTTTCTTGGCGTGCATAGGGACTTCAAAAAAAGCAATTTCTGTTATTTGCTTGTAAAGCTTAACATGCGCTTGACATTTATAGTCCAAAAGATAATACATAATCCAGAATTCTGTAGATATCTACTTGATAGCTTGGTAAAATCTGTATTCTTTATCCACACACACACAAAATCATGTATACACACTCACATACATATGATTAAAGGACAAGGGACCTGTTGGTCCATCTAAGCTGTTCCATTCACTGAACTTTAAAATTAAAATGAAACATTCAAAGCCAGCTCTTGTCATTTAGATATTTGTCAAATCTTTCCTCAACTGCATGCACCACATTTGAAGACAACTCATTCCGAAGGCCAGCCACCCTCTTAAAAAAACAAAACTGTCTTAACTGGAGATGATTCCTTTTCTTCCAAAACTTATTATTCTCTAGTCGTATCATTTTCACCATTAAGTACATAAAGAGATGATGCTTCAACACTGAGAGTTCTCTTGACAGTCTTGAACATCTCAATCAGATCCATTCTAACTTTTTTTTTCAAGAGAAAACAATTTCAGAGATCTTAATGTGTTGTCGTATGACAACTTTTCTGTCTCAAGTATCATTCTAGTAGCCCTCTTCTGAATCCTTTCAAACAATTCATTGCATTCAAAATTGCACACAATGCTGCAAGTGAGTCCTGACTAGTGACTATAACTTCTTTACACTTGTATTCGGTATTTCTTTAGCTACAACCTAAAATCCTGTCTTCCTTGCATATTGGTAGAATGGCTCAAGAGACTTCTTACTTGGTTGTTTACACGTGACTGATATCATTACAACTTTATAACCTGTAATTTGCAATACTTAACTTGAGGTTATAAAAGCACAATATTGAATACAAGTGACTTAAGGCTATTAAACTTTTTAGTATTGCAAATCATTGCCATAAAATCCAGTCCTACCAAATTAAAAAAATAGTTATAGTAAACAAAACTCTGTAACAGTTAATTTATCTCCCAAGCTCTAACAAATGGAATATTTTACCTAAATATGCAAAACTCCCGTGTGTGTGTGTGCTTATCTGTTTATTAGGTAATTATTGGATTATGTATTCAATTGTGTGTGTATACTTTCACTCAGAATTTATTTATTTTTAAAAAGTAAGGAGGTTTGAGAGAAGGGATCCAACCCTACAACTACTGTATCAATGTTTATAGAGATTGTGAAAGTTATGGAATTCTTTCTGATGAAAAACAAAGTTGTTTCATTTACAAGTTTACTTTTAAAAATTCTCTAATTTTCTATTCTCAGATGTATTATTAATAATTTTTCTTTCTTTCTGTACTATTTTTTCACAATTCTCAGATTTAGAAAGAGTAACCATTATTGTTCCTCGGGTATCTTTTTTGGGTCATTTGTTATTTATTATGTCTGTAAACAATATCTAAAAACCCTGTGTGTAATAATCCAAATTTTCTAAATGAAACAAAAAATGGGTGTGAGACAGTTATTATGTTCTGAAGGTACCAAGTGACAAGTCTGCTATCATCAAGCTAGAGATATGAAATGGTACACCAGTGGCATCCTATTCATGTTTGCCCTTTCTCTGGTATATTGGAGGTATAGAAAATGATCTGTTGAAGTCAGATCTAACAACAAAAAAAACTACTGAATGCAAGAGTTTAAGATGGTGAAATAGGGTGACTTCATAAGTTGGTAATGCACCAGAAAATTGTATGCACCTATAATAATAAGAAAAAAAAACAAGTGTATGTGTTTGGGGAGGGGAAGGGGGTTCTAGAGACTGTATGCTATGGGGTTTTAAGAAGCTTTAATAAAAAGGTTCTCTTTAACTTATAATAATAAGACACGCAAGACATTTTTTTGTAAAGTTGATGGGCGATCTCTTAGTATTGACTTGCGTTCTCTAATCCTCTTTGGTTCTTATTCTCCTGTATTATAGATGTAATATTAATTTGTCAAATTTAATCACGTGTTTATTTGAAATAGCCATAGATAAAACATTTGTTAAATAAGAATGTATGTAATCTTTTCTCCAGGTTTTGTGGTACAAGTATGCAAGAACCCTCTCCTGGGACAACGCAAGGAATTACAGTTGTCCCACAGAGTGCTGCATTACCCATTTTTCCAGACACCCCTTCTCAGATGATTGGTCAGTGCAGGGATATGTCGGAGGTGTCTGGACAAGCACTGGTTGGGGGAAATGTGACGTCTCAACCAGCTATGGACCCAACCACTCAAGCACAGTTTGAGGCAGACAAAAGGGCAGTCTACAAGTATGTGCTATGAAATTTGAAGTTTTCTTATGTTTTAGTGTGTGTGGCACAGTCTAGCTCAAGATAAAGTTATATTGTGATAATTTTTTTTATAAACATGAAAATATACCTTACAGATGTATAATACAAATTTATGTTAACTTGAAGTGGGACAAATATATTACCGATGAGTTGTCCCTAGAGCTAATGCATAACTTTCTACCAGGAATTAAAAACAAAAATCAATCAGAACTCTACACTTCTAAAGTTAGGACAACTCCAAACTATGGCTACATAAATTCAAAGTATATTTAAATGGAGCTAAAACTGTCTTGTAACTTATTGAATACTGGTCCTAAAGTTTTTTAGGTATTAAAACAATAACCTACTCATTAAATAATAGTAAAAAAGATTATTACAAACTTACATTGTGGTTGTGTGAAGAGTGACCTGCATAAAGGGGCTGCTAATAATAGATAGCTACTACATTCAGGGACTGCTAAAAGTAGTTGTATAGTCACCCCATTCAGAGACTACTACAAGCAGGTAGTTACTGCTTTCAGGGGCTGCTAAAATTAGTCGTGTAATTATTTGAACAGAATGTTTGTACAATCTATTAAAGTAGTCACGTGATCATTACATGTACTGGTTGATAGAAACGATTGTGATATTTGTTACATTTTATCCAAGTTCAGCCGTTATTTTCTATTAGGTATCAAAGTTCGAAAAACAGTTTAAAAGAAAAGAGTATCCGTGATGTGTGTGAAAAAAAAGCTACACCTTTTATTTCTGCTGTGGCTGCTGATAGCAGACAGTTATGTTGTATGAAAAATTATCCAGTGTTTTGAGATTAATTCTGAAGATTCATTTTAAGTTATCAAGTCTTTGGCCCTTGGGTGTTCATGCAAGGAACTGAGTAATAAAAACGAATTGTTGGAGTGGAAAGATTAAGTGAGAATACTGAATGTACATACAACTTTTGCACAGCTAATTCTGTAAAGTTTACCAGTCTGGTAGAAGTTTTTAGATCCATATTTACATTACATTTTCCTTTTTTTTTTTTACTGTTTACTTCATAGAAAGTATTTGAATTCTGTAAACATTCATCCTTTTAATCTTTGATGGTTACTGATTGAGGTTCTTCATGTTCATCTTTCTAGGTTTATCGGTGTAATAATTAAAATAATTAAATAATTTAATTAAATCAGTGTAAAATTAAATTTGTTTCTTTTCAACCACTAAACTTTGTTGCTCACTAAAGTCTTTGGTCTTTTTTTTTTCAAGATCTTGGTATTTTTTTCTGTTGGTATTGTAGCATCATTCTTGCTCCCCTTAAAAATCTATAAGATAGACCTCTTCTTTTTGATATGAAATTATCTTCTGTGTCATCTGACAACTCTTTTAATGGCCTAAGAATGTCAAGAACACAGACAACTTCTTTTCATTTGTACTTTCTGCGTTTCTAAGTACCAGTTGTTCAGTTTCAAATATGATATTTTCTAGTACTAATTTCTACTGTTTGTTTCTCCGTTAGGCATCCACTGTTCCCACTTTTGGCTCTGTTATTTGAAAAATGTGAAATAGCAATGCAGAGTGCTGAAGCACCTCTCTCGGAGAGTTTCACTATGGATATCCAAGCCTTTGTGCAACATCAAGAGAGAGACAGGAAACCAATATTTATTGATGATCCTGAAGTGGATGGTTTGGTTTGTAAAATTATACGTTGTGACAGTTTCTTGGTAAATAAACAAGCCTTACCTCTAGATAAGAAAAATATATATATTTGATTTTATTCCCCCATATTTTGATTTTATTCATTCGTGAAAAATCAAGACATTAGGAAATAGAAAAATTAAATATTTGTCTTATCTAGAGATAAAGGTTATTTATTTACATAATGTCTAAAACAGTCCATGCTACATACTCTGAAAAATGATTCTATATAATTAAGCTGAATTTCTATGGTGCTTTTTTGAATCTTTTATTATTAATAGCCCTTTGTAGGTTCCATGGCTAGCTGAATTCGATGTGTCTATGTCAGGTAATCCTGATTTTGCTAAATAGCAAATATTATATAGAAATAAACCTTTACGTTACTGGTGAGGTACAATTTCACACATTCACAGCATACTACACTAGAAAATGAAATGAGTTTTTCTGAAATTGGTTTGAATTGTTCTTGTAAATTAAAAAAAAAGACTGAAATTATATATGCCGTCTTTTTTTTTTTTGTTACTTAATTGGGAATATTTTGTATGCCATTATTTGTTATTTTACAGACATCCCCATGATTAAACATAATGGTCTTGAAGCTAAGAATGTTCAGACAAGTATTTTTCAAATATGTCGGATTTATTTTTCCCCCAGAGATACATACATACCATCTTGACTCCAGGCTGTGAAATGGGCTGTAATTATGGCCATAAAAATGTCCCGTACATGATTGAAATAGCTATTTGATCTTCCTTGTACACAGGGTAATACATCATAAAACTAACTTTTTTTTTTTGTTCATTTCTCACAGATGTTGAAATTTAAGATAACATTAAGGAGGTTGCGTCTATTTGGGTTTCTCTTAGTGAGTATAGAGCTTTTAGTTGGAATTAGTTAGACCACCAGTTGTGACTGAAGAAATTAATGCAAGAGTTTACAGTGGGATTAACCCTTTCCATACAGGCTGACACATTTTGTATCACCTCGACTGGGGATAATATTTATGCAAAAGACATAGAGTAACTCTGAGTGTTCCTCACAAAACTTTGTAAGATTTTGTTCAAGTTTATAAATATTTTATATATACAGAAAATGACATTATTTTATTTAAGCCTTTCTAGTAAAAATGTTGTTTATCTGTAGTAGTTATTTGCACTCAAACTGTTCGAATGCAAGGTGATTTTAATTTTAAGTATAAAAAATACTTTTCTTCATCTTATAGTTTCATATTTGCATAACCCGTAGAACCTCCTAAATAAAAGCAAAAGTTTTTAGGGTAAATTTTTATACTTTATTTTTCATTTTCTCTACCATATCACTAACTCTAGCTATTAACATCAACATACAATGCAATGAAATGATAAAAAATAAGGAAATATAAAAAATGTACATACTGTTTAATTTTTTGTAAATTAAATATATTGTTTATGTTATACTCATAATTTCAGGTCTTTTTCCTTTTCACATGTTAATTTTTAATATTTTATTTTCCTTTCTTGTCCGTTACTGTTTATTATTCATTTCGACAGGAGTCAATGGTGCTCTCGTGGCATATTACAGTGTCTTTGGTGAGATGTGCAACCCTTCAATGTGCCAATTTCAAAATAACTGTTATTAGATTATATTGTAAAATGAGCTCTTTCTAATGACTATAAACATATGTATGTGACCTCTACATGTAGGCTGTAAAGCTCAAACAAATCTGTTGAAGGTGGGCGTAACACATGTCAGGAGTTGACAAAATTTATTACTTGTTTCAACTGCATTCATCCAGAGACCTTTGAAATGTAGTATCAAAAAGTTTAGTAAGCATTTTATAGTCTAGCTGTACATCTACACTACTGGCATTGTATTATTGAAGATGATATAGAGTGCCAAAGTATAAAGTTTTTATAGCTCATGAGTCATGTGACAATACATCTGAAAGTTTAAGTAGTTTTTAAATGTTTCTTTTGAAATAAGGGACTTAAAACTTAGGTAACATAAAACTTTGAATCGTAACATACATTAAAATGTTAATATCATTCACATACATTGATAGTAAAGGTGTTTAATTGAATTTTGAATGTAACACAGTGACTTGCAGAGAAAAGTGTCTAAAGGGGTACAGCATGTCAACTTTATGGAAAGGGTTAAGGTTACAGCTGTTAACAAGGTTTTAATTATTGGGTATTTTCATTTCAGGCTTATAGAGATTTTAGAGTCAAACTGTGAAGGGGATAGGTGTTTATATACCATTCAGGGTGGTTTTCTTCACAAATTGGTTAGAACAGGAGATTTTAGAGTCAAACTGTGAAGGAGATAGGTGTTTATATACCATTCAGGGTGGTTTTCTTCACAAATTGGTTAGAACAGGAGATTTTAGAGTCAAACTGTGAAGGGGATAGGTGTTTATATACCATTCAGGGTGGTTTTCTTCACAAATTGGTTAGAACAGGAGATTTTAGAGTCAAACTGTGAAGGGGATAGGTGTTTATAACCATTCAGGATGGTTTTCTTCATGAATTTGTCAGGGAATCTACTAGGAACAATGCTGTTTGAGATTTATTTTTAACTTCTAATATAGAAATGGTTGATAAGTTAGAACATCTGAGTGCAGTTGAGCATTGCTCAACTAGGTTTGATGTGAAACTGAATAAGGAGATCAGAATTGATAACATTTTGGTTACAAATTTCAAAAAAGTAGTTTTTTAAAGGGATGTGACAAGAATTACTATTGTGAATTGGGCTACTAAATTAGAGATACTGATTAGGTATGAATAATATTTTTAAAATAAATTTTTGATGTTAAGATGGAAGAGTTAGAGAACTATAGAAGATCAAGAGAGTTGGGGCATTAGGCAGATGGAAAAGTAAATATTAACAATAAGGATTCCTTTAGCTCAGTATAGAGACTCAATCATTTTGATTGACCTTGTAACCACCAAGTAACTGTGAAACTATGCATACCATAACTGAATGTAGTAAATGTTACAAGTCTGTTGTACAGAAAAAATCAGTTTTTTTAGTATTTTTTTTGTATCAAGGATTTGTATATTAATTTATGTAGTTTGGGTGAAAGGTGATTTTCATGATAGAAATAAAAACTCATTTTCATATTTCATATGTATAATGTATAGAACCTCCTAAATAAATATTAAAAGATTTTTGTTAAAATTTTATAAAAATACCCTCTTTTTCTATGATAACTGCAGATTGTAAAAAACAATTAGAATAATTTATCTTAAAAAGCTTTAGGCCTCTTAACTTTCTATATCTGCTTTTATTTTATTTTAACATCACACTTTACATCATGTGTCATTTAATACATACATCTAATACATGTATGTTCCTCAACGAGTGATCACAAAATATTTATTCAGTTTTTAAATTAATTTTCTTGTATAATCTAATGAATTTTTAGTTTTTACATTTTACTTACTTTTTTTACAAAAATAAAAATATACATAAAAAAACAAATTTCACACTTACCTCAGCCATAGGCCAGTTTGCACTCTGGTGCCTGCTTTTGTAAGCCTTCTTTTTCTAATTATTGTCCAAAAAATTATAAATGCAGCTTCCAAGTATGTATTTTATAATATTACAAATATTGCATGAGGTAAAATAGAATGCCCTAAACCTACTAAAATTTAACTAGCTTTCTAACTAAGCTATAAATAGGTTACAAAAATTCCATTACTCTACAGAGCACCAACTTCAGTCCACATATATCAAAATATACTTGCAAAATAGTGGGTTTTTTTTACCATAAAAGAAGCATAATATCTTTAGAATCACATAGTTCACAAACTGGCTTTTATATTGGTTATAAACATGTACCATTGACAAGTAAGCATGAATAAGTGATTTTGAAGAGTTTAGAGGAGTTTCTGTGATAAATTTATTGATATCTCAAAAAACATAACACGAAGAAAAAAAATCTAAACAGTAGAATTTAGAAAACACAAAAATCACATAACAGGAAAGTGAAGAAGGAGAATTTATTTAAATATTTCATTTTGAAACTAAGAGAGTAAAGTTTAAATAATATAAACATTTGAATTATAAACTATGTTTTGATGCTATGTTTATTGACATACATTGCTAATAAAGTAAATTAATTAGATTTTTGAATATAACTGTAAAAGGGTAATAACATACCCATTTTGAACCCCCACCCCCACCACCATTTTTTATCCAGTCTGTTAAATACATGGAAGTTCTCTGATTGGTCATGGTGGAATTTTTTCAAAGGGAATATACAAGTGTATTGTCCAGTAGAATCTGAGAATATTATATTCAGTTTTCCTCATTGATAACTAACGTTAAGAAGTAATGTTTATTTTCATCAACAGATATTCGGTAGTCTTGTAAAAATTTGTAGGGAGAAACCCAAGGAATAGTGTTAGTCATATTTTCAACTTATTATGGGTTTTGTATTTTGTTGAGTATATAATATATTTTCATGTATAACACTTTAGGGTGAGAAAAATAACTTAATCCAAAGTTGTTGCACCTGAAGATGTCTTATCATGTTTAAAACGAAGAGTAGATTGAAAGTATCTGTATAGGAAACTAAAGCAAGTTGTAAGTAGATAAATTTAGTCAATTAATTGATTAGCTATTTCTACTAATAGCTCAACTTTAATTAAGGTCATAGTAGTGTTAGCGTAGGAGTGGAGGGGCCTTTGAGGGATGAAAATATTATCGACTATTATGAGATTGCTGGGTTACTAAATTCAACTTTTTCTTCAGATTTTTACTAATGAAGATTTAAGTAGTAGTCATCGTCCTGAACAGTTGCTAGAGGGAAATATGATTGACGAACAAGATGGTCAAATTAAATCTAAGTTTGTTAAAATAATATAAAAAAAACTGGGAAGTTTAAAAAAATTAGGCTCCTGAACCAAATATTTTCCCCAAGGGTTTTCAAGGAGGTTAAGGAGTGGATGTGTGAGCCTTTTTGTTGTCAAGGTAATTATAGTCTTACATCATTGGTGGGAAACATTTTGAAAATCTTATAATAGATGTTTTGTACGATCGTTTAACATTGTTTAAAATTTTGTTGGATAGTCAACATGGTTTCATTAGGGGGAAAATATTGCCTCAGTAATCTTTTGACATTCTTTGATGAGGTTACTCCGTATGTTGATAAAGTTACAGGTGTGCATGTGGTATATCTGGATTTAAACCGTACGAAAAGTGGCCACATAAAAGGCATGTTGAAAAAATTATCGTTGAGCTATATGGAAGGGGGGGGATAACTTGCAAACTGGATTAGTGTAACAAATGGAGTAGCTCAGGGTTCAGTATTGGAACCTTCACTCTTTTTGATTTACATCAATAACATAGATAAAGGAATGATCAATACTTAAATTTACTGATGATTTTAAGGTCTTGGGTGTTGCTGGCTGTGAGAAGTATGCTGCTGCTTTACAAAAGGATTTAAATGAGTTGGTGAGTTGGGCAAATTACTGGCAGATGGCTTTTAGTTATAATAAATTCACAGTAATGTGTGAGGGTTATCATAATTTAAGCTATAAGTATAACTTTTATGGAAATAATCTTAACATTGTTATGGAAGAAGATGATATTGGTGTTTTGATTGGTCAGTCTCTTAAACCATTCAAGCAGTGTCCTGTTGCTGGCTGTAGGTAGGTTTTTTATATATATATATATACACACAAAAAGTATTGATTAGGAGGTTGTAACTTCACTGTATAGTTCACAGATTAGGCCTGATTTCGAGTATTGCGTTCAGTCTTGGGCTTCTTACCCTTGTTGGAAAGGTTCAAGGGAGGGCCACTAAGATGATGCCTGAAATGGAAAGGTTGTCATATGAGGACAGTTAAGACTTCTGAAATTGTTTTCTTCTGAGAAAAGAAGTTAGAGGGAACATGATTTGTGTTCAAAATTATTATTATTATGTGAAATGACAGTATTGTACATAATATATTTTTTTATTGAATGGTAGGATAAGGGGATGTAAATATTAATTTTGACAAGGTAGGAGTCATATTCAGTACAGATAGTTGTAATTTTCTAACAGGGTCACTGGTCTTTGGAACAGATTGCCTTCAGATATGGTAGATGCAGTAAATTTAAAGGAACTTAAAGGTAGGCTTAACAAATGTTTAAATGATCAGAGCTGGATTTGAGTTTGTTTCTTTTAAGTGGATGGGATAAACTCGATTATCCAGCAGGCCCTTTGTGATTCTTAAATATTCACTTGGAGGTATGTCAATCTTTAGGCCAGATTCACATGTTTAAGTTTCTTCCAAACCTATTACATCATAGTGAATTTGTTATATCATTTAACTTCTTTTTTTTTATGAGTTTTTTTATATTTTAATTTCCTTTTAATATATATATTTGAAATGTTCATTTATGCCTAAAATGAGTCTCATTAAATTGTGACAATGGCTTCTAAGTTTTCCTGATGTGTTCAAGCTGGTCAGTCCAAATGTTTCTTTTAAATATAAAATTGTATTTTATTTTTATTAGTTTGTAAGATTAGTTAAATAAGATAATGACTTAAATATCAAAGGAATATCTCTTTTTGAAAATTATCATAATTTCACCATGAAAACTTGAAAGATTAAGCAGGCATCAGTTGTTGTAAGTTGTCTTATTTCAAATTTGTTCAGTACTATAGCTATTCACAAAAATTTCATCCTCATAAAGCTAAATGCAAAAAATTAAGAGTTAAAACTTAATTTATTGACAATTTAACAATTGTCCTGCATGTTTCGGTTACTTGGCTGTTATGAAATTGTAACAGAATCTTTTTGTTCCTCTCAGATGATAAAGGCTATTCAGGTGTTAAGAATACATCTATTGGAACTTGAGAAAGTGCAAGATCTTTGTAAAGACTTCTGTAATCGGTATATTGCATGTTTAAAGAATAAAATGCAAAGTGAAAATTTGCTTCGATCAGAATATCCGGCTCTAACTAATGGTACGTCGTCGTCAGCTGAGTCCAGTCCCGGCAGTACTCCAGACAACAGTCAGCATCAGGTAAGGTTCCAGATTAACGTATTTCAATTGTAACTTTTATTTCCACATGTATTTCGTCTGTAAAAAGTTGAATGTCACAAAAGTGGCCCGAGTTACATAACCCGTAGTATAAAAAATATTAGGAATGTGAATAGCTTTTAAATAGGTAGTAATACTGTATTATTTTTGTCTACTGCAGAACAGAATAGTTCCATCTCATTTTCATGATTAATATAGCCTATAAATGACAATGAATTTACTTCATAGTGACTGGGTGTGTAGAAGTTAAAAGTACTCCTTTGGTCTGCCTTCAACAGTTCAGTGGAAGTGTGCTGTACATGGTGTATGGCTTGAAAATATTCCACGCACGTTTAGAGCAGTTGCAGTCAGTGGGTTAATATAGTGCTTATTCACTCTAGTCTGCAGCCATCAACCCTAAAGATACAGATAAACAATATGCAGATGTTGTCCTTTGATCTTATCTTGTGTTTACTACTGAAATGTGAATGTCATTAAGATAGTATTTATACTTTCTTTTTACTTATTGCATTAGAGCTTGACAAGCAATGGTTCTCTTGGAAACATAGTTCTTCAACAAGGCATATCCCAGAATTCTGTGTTAAGTCCAAACCAGATTGTTTCAGGTGGAACAGTCTATCAGATGGTACAGACACCACAAGGCATTGTAGCTCAACCAATTCAGGTTAGTATTTTATGTATCTTTGTGAATTTACTTCCCTAATACTTTTACCAAACTTGACAGTATTACTTAAATGTAATATGTGTTTAGATGTAATGTGCATTAGATGTACTTTTTATTTAATGGTTTTCCCCATAAACAGCATCCTTAACATTTGAAAGCACTATAAAATGATTTCTGATTCTTTTATTTTTCCAAATTTGAGACTGCATTGTTCTTCTCTAAAATTAACTGTTATGGTATTATCATTATTTCATTCATTAAATGTTAATAAACACGTATATATGTATCATGTTTTATGCTCAAATATTCTTGAACATCAATTCTCAATTAGATATACATAGAAAAGTGGTCTTGTTTTACTTGTTTCATAAAAGATAAAGGTGCTCATTTAGAGTGGAAACTGGTGTATCTAGACCACAAGCTCCTCGATAAACAAGTCTACAGTACCTGCTAGGGCCAAAATATAATTATGTGCTCATGAACTATCGACACCCTCCCCCCCAAAAAAAACTAAAAAACTTCACCAAAAAGCAACAAGTTTTTATAACAGTTGATTTGTCTCAAAACTGATTTTCTAAATTTGTTTCAACTTGTTCCTGATCGATATCACCGATATCTTACTGTCTAGTTAACGGATCTAAACTCGTACTCAAAATAATGACCTAAATTAGAATAATTGTTAAAGAAAGTACTGATACCAAACTTGTATTTGATGAAGTTCATTTTTTTGTCTAAGGACAAGCTTAAAGCATCGAAACTATTAAATAAGGTTTATGTAACACAATATTGAATGAATTTTTACCTAAGCTTCAACTTGCTAGTTTGCTGTTAAATGCTTTAACAAGGCTTATATAATATATTTGAAAGATGCATATGCTTTTCCTTTTCTAAAAAATTTAAAGTGACGTTGTAAAGCGAAGATGGACTCATGCCACTTCTGTAACCAATAGGAACTTCCTTTAATTTTCCACAAATTTTGTATTTAGCCATTCATTCATATGTTGAGCTACAGTTTTCACTTAAACAGAACTGTTATCACAAATTCTATTTGATTTTTCTGCTACAAGGGATTAAAGCAAGACAAACATGCAAGTCTATGTTTAAGAGTTTATTCAACTTATATTGGCCCCACTTGAATGTTGTATGGCCCCAATTTTTTTTTTTACCTGAAAGGTCCCCATTATATTTCATCCTGGAATGAATACTTCATAACTGTTCAGTCTGTTTAAACCAGATGTTGGAAGATCAGCTGTATCCAACAGCAGAAACAGGGAAAAAATTACTAGTGGTTTTTGCTGATTTTAGTAACAGTTATTTCTACGGATTATGTTAAATTACAAACAATATCACACAAAATATTCGGAACATTTAAAAAAAAAAACTCCAGTGCCGAGGAAACGTGATCCAAGTATAACAATAAAAGCAGTTTTTGTAGTAATCTTTTGATTCTAAATATACATTTGGAAAGGAATATTCAAAGGACTTTTTAATTACAGGAAACGGCAGATAGTAGCTGCACAAACCAATACAATACTGATGTAAGACCACAATAAACTACTGGCAATTATTAGTCACATTACTTCTACTTTTTCAGTTCCAATTAGAAGACTTAAAGTACAGGTCAGTTTCAACTATTTGCCACATGATCAATGTTAACAGTTGAAATTAACTCAACATACGTACAGGACAGTTTCAACTATTTGCCACATGATCAATGTTAACAGTTGAAATTAACTCAACATATACAATACTGAATAGTTTCAACTGAGAATACAGTTACTGACACTCTTCATGTTAACTTCTTATACTTCACATTTATCCCGTGACCCTTGTATTGCTTCGATATCTTTCTTGTTTCCCGCTCTTTCCATGCATCTAGAGCTGCTTTGAAATTAAAATCTTCAAATGTTGACCCTTCTGGTGAAAAAGTCGTAAGCTCATCAACTCTCTCTTGTGCTAATTGATTTCTCTCGGAGGTTTTAATGATATTGCGGACACTAAAACCTCTTTCACAATGAGCAGTACAGATGGAGCTGTAACTGTAATGGCAGCCAACTTTAACAAGTTGGGTATTCTTCCTTTTGATTTAAATTGATCAATCCCATAGCACACAGAGCCTGTCTCTTGGGTAACCAGCATTAATAACCTGTTCTTTT